GGCACCTGATTTCCATGACAAATGTGGTAATGCTGTTTTAGCCAGGGGAGCGGCTTGCTGTATGCTGCATGGACATATACAGCAGCACAAATTGGAGTCGAATGGAACCTGTCCCCTGTAGACAGAGTCACCCCAAAGGAATGGAGAGATTAGAAATCAAAGCAGCTGGTGGTGTAATACTGAATTGTTTCGAAATCAACTTTGAAATTGATTCAAGTAAATGCACCACATATGCAGTAACATATGGCATTATTGAAGAAATAAAATGCATTTGAAACTGAAAAAAAAAAGAAAGGAAGTACAAGGGGCTGCAAGTTAGAAAGCTGGATAACCTTGGATTTGCTCCAAATTATACAAATGAAAATCATCCAGTCCTTGTGTTAGGAGGAACAGATGAACTGGGATCCAGGGCATAGCTGAGGACAACCTACTCAGAGATCAGGCCCTTCGAGTTCGAGTTCGAACACCCTAAGATGTTTCTGATCCAGACACTAAAAAGAAAGTCTGGTAAGAGCCTGGAAACCTTGATGGTATCAAGCCTCCTACTTACAAGCAGCCACCCTTCGAAATTGCCCATCAGGTGTTATCATCCCTTTTGCTAAATCCCTTCACTGGGGACCTAGGGCCCAGGGGATAAAGTACTCCTTTCCTGCCATTTCCTCTATACACCCCGCATACACTCCAACCGCTCTGAGTCCCAATCAGTTCCCAATTCCACTGCACCTTGTCATGAGCTCCATCCTCTGCTAGGACACCTTCCCTCCCTAACTTGTTCCCCTAGAGAAGTCTTAACACCCCTGCAAGACTGTCCTTCACACTCTGTAAAGCCTTATGGAGCCTTGTGCTATCACTCAGGAGACACTGGAGCATCCGGCAGACATAGTTGAAGAGCCCCCCTGAGTTTTCTCAGTAACCTCTGCTCATATCTAGGGAACCAATGGCGTCTTTGAATTGCAACTGCCTCCATGAGGCTGTGAGCATCCTGAGATTGGCCCTGGGTTTTTAATTCACCTTTGGATTCCGATTACCCAGCCCATGGAATGCATCGATCTTTTTATTTGGGGGCGGGGGATCACTTTGGAGGGGGGGCTGGATTCATTTCCTTACCAAGGATTCATCTAACATCTCTGTTTCAGGATTCTTATAAGGTGCTGGTCCAATTTTACAATTGGAAACCACCAGACATGATCCTCAGCAGCTTCATGGGCCAAACAGGGGTATTTAATTGAATGAATGACGTGTGAATGAATAAATGAACAGCTGCTGTCTAGTTTGTTGAGAGAGATCATAGGGGTCTAGAGACTAACTGGTCCAGATCGGAATCTTAATACAGGACTTATTAAGCATGGGACCTTAGCACCAGTCCCTCAACCAGTCTGTATCTTCATTTCCTCATTTGTGAAACAGAGATCATAAGAATGATAGTTTCATAACAGGATTATGACTAAACAAGATGATGTATTTAAAAGCTGTTAGTAAATGATTGAACTATTGCGTTGTATGAGATATGGATTATGTGCCAATAAAACTGTTGTTTCAACAACAACAAAAAAGGATTAGTGGGGGTCAAGCAGAGTTGGTCTCAGAAACTGGTAGTTCCCACCTCTGACTCAGGGTGAGAACATGTGCCAATTCAGACACACAGCAGGAGAGCTTCCAAACCTGTGGTAGCAGCCCTGGTGCTGGCTGTCTTACCACAAGCCAAAGCAGACACCTTCCCTGTCAGCTGCAGCGCTCCCCAGCCACGGCCTCCCTCTCTCTTCACCACCGCCCCCTTCACTGCCCAGTCCTGTATGTTTACTGCCGGCGCCTTTCAAGGCCAGGGGTGTGGTACCAATCTTTATCTGTCGATGGAGTGGGCTGAGGAAGGAGGGGCCATGGTGCAAGGGGGCTAAAGAAGAACACAGTCCCTTACTGAGGACCCACTATGTGCCTGGCAAGGAATCCTAAGAGCGCAGTGGGCCAGGCACTGGCTGCTAACCTCAAAGTCTGTGGCTCAAACCCATCAGCCACTCCTAGGGAGAACGATGAGGCTGCCTGCGCCCGCAAAGATGTGGTCTCAAATGCTCTTTCCGGTTGCTATGAGTCAGAATCGCCTGGATGGCAGCGGGTTTAGGCTCTTGGCTATGTGCTTGGTGCTTGATATGCATCATCTCATGCCCTCTTCCTAGCAATGCTATTTTACAGACGAGGAAACCAAGGTTCCAGAAGTAAACACGAGAGGTGGGATATGAATTTTAAGTTTCTCGACGACCCCAAAATGATTTCCTACTGCCACACCACCTGCCAGTGTGACAACTCAACTCCTGCCATCGAGCCAAGGCAGACCCACACGGACCCCGGGTAGAGAGAGGACCATTAAACATCTGGTGAATACGTTTCCATTTTCTGTCTTCCCTGTAAGGGCAGACATTGTGTCTCCACCTTCCTGGGAATCAATTAAGGCTCAAATGAGGACAATAAACAAATGACTAATAAGTGGGTGAAAGAACGAATCCCTTTTGCTACTTATACCAGGAAGGAGGAAACAACTTTGGAGGTGCCACCCCTCAGTTAGAAGCTGGGAGACAGAAGTTCCCCCAAGGAGGGCCAGGAGCTGCTCCATTTGAAAGTGGAAAAAAATGGGAAAAGTGTTTGGAGGGTAGGGGTGGGGGTAAAGGGTAATGCGTGATGGTGGGCGATCGGGCCAATGATTGACAAGAGGAGGGAGGAGGCATGGCATTACCTGCTTCTCCAGCTAAGTCCCTGGGGCGGAAAGCCAGTGACAGCCCCCTCGCCCTGGGCTCAATCCGCTGCCAACTTTTTCAATGGAAGGTGCATGAGCCTCAAGTGACTGCTTCAAGAGACGACTCCGGAAGGGAGGTGACGAAGGAAGCGCCCCAACTCCACGCCCACCCCACCCCCCACGCCTCCCGCCCCCTTTCAGCCCCAGCCGGAGCCTCGGGCTCTTGGGTGGGCGCTCCCTGCTGCCACCGCCTCCCCTCACTCCCCCACGTCGCGACGGCTGCCCCCCGCCCCGCCCTGTACCTTGGGGATGGGGGGCGGGGGGTGTCCCCCGGCTGAACAGACTGGTCCGGTGGTCGTGCGGTTCCGGGCCAAGGGGCCACCTTTGCTGCCCTGCAGCTCGCGCCCTGCCAGGAAGCCGGTCCTGGTCCCTCCCCGCACAGACATCGCCGGGACAGGTTCGTCCCCGCCCGGCCGGGGGAGGGAGCCCCAGGAAATCCCCTCCCAGCCTCGCGGCGGCGCGGCCGGGAAGCCGGCTCTCGGCTCACTCCCGGGCCGGCCCTGGACGGAGGAGTCCGCCCGCTCCGTGCCTGGGGCTGAGCCGGTGCCCGCGACAGCCTCTCTGCTGGACTCCAGGCCGGCGCCAAGTCCTGTCCTCTCGCTTTAGGACTGTCCCCGGCCGTCGGCGCGACCGCCTGCCGTCCACCTTTTGCAATGGGCTCTGTGCCCCTGGAGTGGGGGTCGGCTCCCAAAAGCCAGCCCTGGAGACTGGCCATGGACGGATGGATGGATGGGGGTGACCACAAGCCCTCACAGGGCAGACCCAGGAGCTCCATCCACCAAACTGGTTGTACGTTGGCCTCGGATAAAGTCAGCTTGCCAGGGCTTGATCATTCATTCAGTGCATTTAGAGAGTAACTCGTCTTGTGCTAGGTTCTGAGGATAATAAAGTGAATTCACTTGGTCCCTACCCACACGCTCTACTGGGGGGAGGGGGGGCGCGGGGAGGTAAGAATTGCTTACAGGAGCAGACACCAAGGAGGAGGCTGCCCCTGGTGCGGAGAGTCCTGGAAAGGCTCTTCAAGAAGATGACCGATGAACAGGGTGGACAGTTCTGCCAAGCTGTAAAGGAGGAGGGGGTGGGGGAGACAGCACAGGTAAGGAGGGGAGTTCAAAACTGTGAGGGAGGAGGTCGGGAGGCAGAGAGCATCCCATCCGGAAGGAACCTGCCTGCCTTATGTACTTAGAGGTAATATGGGGTCACAGAAAGGTTTTAAACAAAGGAGGAATGTTCTCTGGCTGCATTTAAATAGACCTTCAAGCCCAAGCCAAGCTCACTGCCTTTGAGTGCTGCTGACTCATAGGGACCCTCCAGGACAGGTTAGAACTGCCCCCGTGGGTTTCCGAGACCGGAACTGTTTACAGGAGTGGAAAGCAGTGGCTGGTGGTTTTGAGTTGCCGGCTTTGTGGATAACAGCTCAATGTGTCTCCAGAGCTCCTAAACAGGCCATAGGAGCCTGCCATGTAGGGTACAACCAATAATGTGGGCTTAAACCAGAGCACTGGTAAGGGATGGAGAGGAAGGGACTCATTCAAGAGATGTTAAAGGACTAGCTATAGTAAGAAGCTGTCACCATCCCTAGACCTAAAGGGATAAGGAGAAGGAATGGTGTTGACTGAGCCCAGAACATCTGTTGCTGCGGAAAAGGGGTTCCTGACAAGAACTGTAGTTGCATAGGGAAAGAGCCACTATTTGAAGTGAGAGGAAGTAAGGAAGGAACTACCTTGACCACTTTCTTCTCCCACCTCCCTATTTTCTGCTGCTTCTCATTGGCTGGACTCAAACCACAGCCAGGGAGCAAGGGAGCTCTGTGCTGTAACCCATCCGGCTGAGCTACCTGAGACCCAGAGAAGGTCAGAGAATGAATGGTGGCAGGGAAGCAAACAGCTGGACCAAAAAATAGAAATTTAGGATTTATCTGCAAGAAATAGCAACTCAGAAAACTTTTTCAGAAAAAAAGAAAGAAATGGCATCTGAAGCTGTGGGAGTAGATGCAGTGACTGAGAGATTAAAGTTGTTAAGGATTTCATCTTATTTGTATCCACAATCAGCGCCCGTGGAAGCAGCAGTCAGGAAATCAAACAGCATATGGCACAGGGCAAACCTACTGCAAAAGGTCTCTTTAAAGTGTTACTAGGCAAAGCTGTCATTACAAAGCCCAAGATGCACCTGCCCTGAGCCATGGTATTTTCACTTCCCTCATATGCATACAAAAGCTAGACAATGGAAAAATGGAAAAATTTACAAGCCAGACAATGAATTAGGAAGATGAAAGAATAGAAGCATTCGAATGACAGTGTTGGTGAAAAATATTAACTGTAGCCCATAAAATACTAAATGTTGTAGTCCACTGCCCAAGTGGACATTAGGTGGCACGTGACTGTATATCACAATTGAAAAGTTAAAACAAAATAAACATATATTAAAAAGAAAAAAAGCAAAGTCTCACTTAGGATTTGTACATCGGTTTATTGTGGACCTTGTTCATGATATCCAGTCTTTACAAATCATACCTGTTCTGAGACATTGGCAGGCTCTCATTTCTAAGCTTGTCCAATTCGGTGTCTGACTCTAAGCTGTGGCAAACTCAGCACAGGCGTGCTATTCTTTCTTTGGTTTAAGTTTTTGACCCCTTTTCTTTTTCTTTTTTTAATTAGATCATTTTATTGGGGGCTTGTACAACCCTTATCACAATCCACACATACAGCCATTGTGTCAAGCACTTTTGCACATTTGTTTCCCTCATCATTCTCAAAACATTTGCTTTCTACTTGAGCCCCTGGTATTCGCTCCTCATTTTTTCCCTCCCCTGCTTTTTCTTATCTTCTTCTTTTTTTTTTTTTTTAAGCCTAAGACAGTTTACCCTCCCCGTCTTCCAAGAAACCTCCATCCTAGGATTCTGTTTTTCTGGGTAGCTCTGAGGGCCTCTAGCCATCTCACACTCTTCATTTTCCTTTCCACCTCCTTCATTCTCTGACGTATCACAGTCTTCTGCAGAGTACACATCCCTCACTATCTTCATCCCTTCACCTCGCACACCGGTCTGAGGAGAGGGCTTGGGGGAAGCAGGAGGAAGGGTAGACGTGGAGAAAGACTAGGAAAGAGGTTACATCTTCTGTTGCTTCAAAACAAAAGATTGTGTGGTGTCCTTGTCACTGTTGGAGACCCCGTTTTTATCTGTAACTATATTAGACCAGTTCCCTACTCTTCTCCTTTACAATGCCAGGCCACTCAACAGAAAGTAACAGAATCTACATAGCATGAAGATTCCCCAGAACATGTTTTCTAAATGCTGAGTTGTTTTCCTAAATGTATTTAGATGAATTGCAAGTTTTAGATGAATTGCAAGTTTAAGCATATCATATGTTAGTGTTACTTCTGGATTTTAAGCAGTGTATATCGTTTAAAATTAACCATATTTATGAAAAATTATATGATTACATATGAATAATCCACAAAAAATTCTGAATGGCATAGTTAAAATTTTTAAAACAAAAAACTTCGTTAATATAGAGTTGACCTTAGCAGGACTGTAAGGCAATCCTAGAAGAAAATTGTGTGATTCCACAGGATAAGTAGCCCTGAGAACCATGTTTCCCTGTAGGTTTACATGGATTCCTGATGGAATGTTACCTATATTTTCATGAACCACAAGGGTCAAGAGGGCAGGAGGAAAAGTCTAGTCATTAACAGAACATGAAATAGAATCAGAACACAAAGCTAAGCCTCCTTACCCCTAAAATAATATCATCAGAGGAAAATAACTTACCGAAAAAACTCAACTTGCTATATTAGAGGCAGATTGGGAATGTGGGTCTGTCTTAGTCTTGGCTGAAATAAATAAATAATAAGATAAATAAATAAAATAAACCAGCCATTTAGCTAAGAAGAACAAAATCCACATGGAAGAAGCACACCAGCCTGTGTGATCATG